TGGCATTCTTATGGAAAAATTTTGCTTTCAATCTTAATGGGTGGTTAAAAAATTGCAACTAATGAACGTTGATGCCAAAATAAAATATGACTTACGAGTACATTCTCTGAAATGCAGGACGCACTCGAATGCATGATACACCCTATTTTTTCAATCTAAGATTTTGGAAAAAAGGTACGTCTTGCATTCACGAGAATACGGTCCTATTAATTTTACCAAGTCAAGAGCATGCTCCACTGGTTTGATTTTTGTGCAAAAAATTAAAAGATTTTGATGTCTGTTTTTGGGCTGAATTTTCATTCAAAAACGAACGTCAATCGTTTTTATTGTCATTCTCACAGAATCCTTCCGTATCCGAAGCGCACGCCTGTACGTACGCGAACCAGAATGTCGCAGAACAGTCGGATTCCGGCCTGTCGAACCTCGACAGCGGCGCCGCCGCGCGTGATGTAAGTGAACGATTTCCGCCGTTGGGGAACAATTCCGCAGCTTATTGTTTTATGCCGCAATGTGATCCGTGCCTTGCCTTGCTTCAGACGCAACAAATTCCGCTTGCTCCTACCCACACTTCTTGCGCGAATTCTGTCCGATCTCAGTTAGATAACTCTAGTCATACAAATAGTAGTCAGAATTTAAGTAAACCGGTCGCCGCGCAGAACCAAATGTTCGTGTGCCCGAGCAGCAGCGGAGCGCCGGACGCCCACAGGAAGATCTCGGTCGTGTCCAACCAGTCGACGATGTCCACTGACTCGGACTACGTATCCGACACGAACAATTTGTACTTCGATCCGCGTTCGCGAAAATTATCGGACGTGCCCAGCTCGTACGAGCTGGCCAGCGGCGAAATATTCCACTATTCGAAACCGGCGTCCTTTAATCTGAACTTGAATTTGGCCGCCGCCAATTCGTTCAAGTCGACCATGAAAGACCAGTGCTGCCAGACACCCGAATTTCCGCTGGCGAACGTCGACCCGCGGCACGAAGTGAAAATATCCGATATCCAGAATATGCGATTCACGACGCCGGATCCGGACGGTGGCGACGACCTGAGGCGTAAGATATCGAATATATCGACGATATCGACGCTGTCCTCGATGTCGGCCGAATCGGCCAGCACTTTTGACACGGTCACTCACGGAGTCGACGTTGTCGGTGGCCACGAAGATCCTTTGGCTGTAAGAGTAGACGATGGTGGTAGGAGTGGCGACCAGCTGCAAAACGTTGCTCAAGTAAGTCACGTTCCGCGTTCTGACTACCGTTTCATAACCGTGTGAAAGTTCTCATGATGAACAGAGTAACATACCGGACCGATTTAAATTCATCGTCATATCGCACTTCTTCTTTCTTCTATAAAATTAACCGGGAAAAGTTGAATATCGAGCTGAATTTAAATGTATACGTTTACTTGTAGACGGTATCTCTAGATGGAACTTTGTCGATTTGTGTAGCTAGAAGCGTAGTTTCTGCTTTTATCGTTGTTAGCCAGAATATTTCGAGTTATGCTCGTTGTTTATGTTCTGTGTTTTTTCATTTTCAACGATTTGTTTCATAGAAATTGCCTGTGGTCTATAAGTTTTCCTGTAGTGTGCCTGGGAGTGTGACTTAGAAATGCTAATCTCGATATTTTTCGTATTTTGAAGGTGGGGTATATCAAAATGTAAAAATACTTCTCTTGGATATTCACGTTTCACGTGTGTCTTACTTATCAGTTAACTCCGAAGTTGGAAATACGTTTAAAAGGTTATTCTTTTTTGCATGAAACACAAAAAACGAAATGCATTGTGTTGCATGCTCAAATTTATCAACTGTTTCAAGGGTAAGAATGGGGTAGAGAGACGCTATGAAATACAACAATTCTCCTAATGAGAGACGCTCGAGATATGGAAGGTTCAGGTTAGGACTAATTTTTGTAGATAAAATGAAGGAATTAGATAATTTTTGGAAAATAGTTTTAAAATAATTCAACGTCAATTTTCATCCTTGAATCTTTAGTCTGTGAAAATTTATTATAGATAATGCAACCAACAATTATTTTATAATCTCCCAAAAATTTGCTTAATATTCTTCTCCTTTATCTTATCTACAAACACTAGTCCCAACCTGAATCCTCTATATCATGATAATCTCTTTTCTTGTGTCTTTCTGTTCCAGTCTTATTTTTCTGACACAGAAAATTCACTTCAGCATGCAACTCGATGCATTTGTTCTTTGTTGAAACAAATAATCCTGTACTCTCATACACTCTCGAACAATATGCATAAATGAACAATAAATAAAAATTAATATGAAAATGAAGACATATAAAATTTCAGATATGGGTATTTTTGTAATCAGTGA